TGTGTGTGTGTGTGTGTGTGTTTGTGTGTGTGTGTGTGTGTGTGTTTGTGTGTGTGTGTGTGTGTGTGTTTGTGTGTGTGTGTGTGTGTGTGTTTTCATTTTTTTAGAGAAAGAGACAGCGGGAGAGAGAAAATGAGTGATCAGCAAAGATGGATTTATATTGACAAAGCGTTTTCTTTATCTCTTTTCAGGTGACAGTGCCACAGACATTTGGAGCAGTAAGTGTTTACTTTTTGCCTTTGTGTGTGGGTGTTTGTGTGTGTGCATTCTGTCGTTAATTCAAAGAGGAATGATAGATAGATTGATCCTGCTTGATCGCATCATACTTGAAATCTGGTATCGGTCATATATTAGGCCATCCTACTCAGTTTATCTGTCTGCCCATACAGTTTCTCTTGTAGTATCGAAGGGGCTGGCTACATTTCCTGTCTCAAGGCACTGTGTGTCTTTCAATGCTGGAGGATGTGTTCCACAGTTTGGTCGTCTCTCCACACTGGCATTATAGTGATTGTACTAGTTTAAAACTCCTATACATGAGTGAGGCAAAGATGTGTTATGTCACCAGACCTCTTTAACATGTACAGTGAAACAATCCTTAGAAACAGAAGAATGTCCAGGTCTCAAAGTAAATGGAGAAAAGATTAATAACATCAGGTATGCAGATGACACAGTTTTAATAGCAGGCTCAGAAAAGGACCTTCAATTGCTTCTAGATACTGTTGTAACAGAAAGTGAACGTAAAGGATTATTGTTGAATGTAAAGAAAACAGAATGCATGGTAATATCCAAAAAAGCAGCAAAGCCAAGTTGTAATATCATTAGCAAAGGTGAAAAGATCAAACTAGTCCAACAATTTAAATATCTAGGATAAATGATATCATCTGATGCCAAATGTTACACAGAAATAAGACGGAGAATTACAATGGCTAAGGCTAGTTTCAATCAAATGAGCCCAATCCTGAAAAATAGAAACATCTCAATTAACACCAAAATGAAAGTTCTGAAATGCTATGTTTGGTCAACCCTTCTTTATGGCTGTGAATGCTGGACAATCACTAAAGACAGTGAAAATAAAATAGAAGTAACAGAAATATGGTTTCTAGGGAGCATGCTAAGAGTATCATGGAAGGAAAAGAAATCAAAAGAGGTAGTGCTTGATGAAGCCCACGCGGGACGCTCAATGTTGAAAACAATCAGGAAACGACAAATGCAGTTTTTGGGATACATAAATAGATATA